AGGAAACAGGTGCTGATGAAACTGAAACTGCAGAATTGTTCAAGTCAGTTAACATGTCATAGGTTTTGAGTCTGTGATTTATTTTTGATTACTGCATTGACTTAGTTTGTAGTTTTATCACAAAATACCAAAGGGGGAGTTTGTTAGGTTTTAGATTATTTGTAATTGTCGATTCAGTGAACAAAAGGACTGAAATTGACATATTGTAAAAGTTCAAGGAGTAATATGCAAATATGTTGAAAATAGTTTTTTAGGTCTAGGGTTCGTGAATGGCAAAAAGAGGAAAATGACGCTGATTTTCGCTAGATTATCGTCAAGGTTTGGCTCAAGCTACAAAAGTAAAAACTCCATCATTTGACTGTTGCCATGCCTTTGCTTTAGCGACAGTCTGTCGCTACGCCCTCGCTCGGGAGATAGTTTTATTCGAAAAAATTTTATTTCGCGTTTTAAAGGTTTTTTCTATGGTCCATTTATTTTTCTAACCTACCTATAAGTACTAAAACATATTTGAACGTGTTTTATGAGGTTGAACATTGAGAAAAAGGCTACTGAGTGTTTCCTTCATATTTGATTCTTTCAATCTTTATCTGTGAGAGTTTTTGTAAAAAAAACATCAGTTCAATAATCCAAATTTCAAACTACTATTCCTCTTAATAAGGTTGATCTTTTAAGATGGAATCTCAAATCTTAACATGGTATTAGAGCTCGTTAACCTCCAACAAGCAATTCGATCCGATTAAAACTCAAAAAAATTGAGCACACGGATTTCAAAATTGGTCTGCTTAAACAAGTAGCCATCTTGCGGAAATATGTTAAGGGATAAAATTTCACTTAGAATAAAGATGAAAACATATACAAATTTCTAAGAGTTTGTATTACCCCTCTTAATAAGGTTAATATTTTAAAATAGAATTTCAAATCTTAACACATCCAACATAAAATATAATAATAAAAAAAATCATCCATCATCTTGGGGTCTTGCACATCATAATAAGGTATTATAATTTACATTTTATTTCGCTATTACTATTTGATTTAATTATTTCAACTCTCATCAAACTTTGAGTAGCGTCACATTTTCATTGTACTTCAACTTGCACTCTACCGCTTACTGAACTTTAAACTGTTAACACTCCCATCACTAACGCCCGCACGCATGGAGGACGGAATTGACATGTGGCTATTAAATGCCACATCATGTAGAGTAATTCTCAGCAACACGTGCCTCTTCTCGCCAAACACTCCTATGAAAAAATTGAAACCGTAGATTCATTCTATTCATCCCTTCAATCTCCCAGCCCTGAGCTTTAACCCCAAATCTATCTCTTGAAATCTAGCCCCCAAATCCGAAATTGCAGACAACCCTAACCCCTAAATCGAAAGTCCATCAATTTGGAAGGCCAAACCGTGACCACGAAGCTTGGATTTGCGAAGGGTTTAAAAAAAATTCTCTAACTATAGCACAGTCACTAGATCACTGTTATCTCATGGTGAAAATGAGACATCTTTACATATATTAATTAACTTCTTGGTTTGTGGAGATCTAAACTCAAAGTCTGCTCGAGTGAAAAAAGGTTCACCAAATTATTTGGCGTATAAATTTTTGCATTGTGGTGCTCATCACAGTCCAATCGGTACCATTTCCCATCTGGATATCCCAAGTTAGATATCTCATAAACCATCTCTAGGCAATCGTGTTCTCTTTCTAGACAACGGCATGAGCAACCGGGTAGATGATGACATCACATCTAGGCCGACTGCAGTGAGCATTATACCCTCTCCCCTAAACACTACAAAGTTAGCACCCATCTACTCCAATGATCTTTCTGCGCCCATGTCGAAACCCTAATTTGCAAGCACTAAAACAGAAATAGATACCCTGAAACATATGACCATTAAGTGCTCTTATCACTATGGATCTTGGATTGGACCACAAGACCTGTCGCGTACGGCCTCAGTGCAACAAACTATTCTTCGATTTTCCCGTTTATCTTCTATTTATCTTTAGGTCCTCATTTACAGTTCCTTGCATACTTTTCATTTTCCACCCCAGATCTGTGTTAAACTGCTCAATATACCGATGGAATATGAAAACATAGTTGCAATGACGATTATACTGAACCCGACTGCATGTGTGTTGAGGTATATATGACTTCACTTGCACCGTATCTGAATTATTCATCTTGGAAGCCCATATCCTCCATTTGCACTCTGCTTTACATGTGCCTTGAACTCTTCTTTCGTCATTCGGGTTACACTTCACATTATATGCATTTACTACACCGTAAGTCTAAATCACCTTCCTAAATTTTTTAACAGAACTAAACAACTACCCAACCTAAAAATGTGGATCCCGCATATCAATTTATACCGTAAACTATGTAAACCAATACACAACCTCATTGTCAATTGACATACCGGACAATAGTTCTTCAAATGATGAACATTCTAAATCACCGGCCTTGTGGTCTTCGTCGTGTACCACTACCGCATAATCATCTTCCTCTCGTTCAGTTGCACCCCATGACAATCTAATTCAATTCCCTCCTTCACATTCTTCTAGAATTCCAAATTGTCTTCACCAGTTGATGTATCGTTATCGAAATCATTGAAGTTTGAGTCATCCTCCACATCTGTTACAAAAACATTAAATTAATGATTGTGGGCGATTTTGACCAAAAAACATGTTAATGTCCATCGAAAAAGGGCAAGAGAAAATAACTAAAATAAGGTAATTGAAAGATGACCACTTAGTTTAATTCTCCTAGTTATGGGTGTCTGTTCAAAATAAAGCAAATTTGATCTTTTTTTTTTTACCTTCTTTTTAGATATTAATTTTCATAGTTACTTTGTTGCACAAGGTGGTATTAATATATTTGTTTAGCGTTAGAATTTAAAACTTGAACTACCAAAACTGTTTCTTTAAAATTCTGGGCGGCATGAGACTGATTATTTAGGGCCTGTCTGGCCCCGCTTCTACCAATTGATTTTTGGAACGTTGCTTCCTCTGATAGGACCCATGCAAGAGAGAACTAGTCAACAAAGGTGGGCTGATTTGGTGCCCAACGGTCAGAAAAATGGCATTTCTTGGATTTGAACGGTAGGAATTTTAATTATAATCAATCACAGACGGCCTTTAATACTAGGTGTGAAATTTTCTATGTTAAGAGCATCCACATGGTAATTCACGCTCCGAAACTAGCGACATTCTCTACAATAAAGCTTAACTAATTGTATTCTCCTAAAAGCCGACATTTTCCACACAAATCCAACCAAGACAATGGGTTTTCGACAATAAAGAACAAAAATCGAAGCGCATACATGAAAAAATTATTCTCTTTTACCTTCATGTGGTCTCGTCATGTGCAAATCTTCGATAATCGAACACTATGCCTCCTGGGTGGTAGCGTTGGTGGGGTACTTTCGTGGGTCGAGTAGAAGATTTTGTCGGGTTAGAGCTATTCAGCTTTTGGGGAGATTTTGCTTTCAGAACTATAGTGAATTGAAATCGTGTTTAATCTAATTATCCATGCCTTGGCGGTTCCAACATGGCAGCCAATTTGTGTTTTTAGTATGATATGTCAACATTTAACAGCCACATGTCAATTCCGTCCTCCATGTATGCAGGTGTTAGTGATGGGAGTAACATGGTGAGCAATGGAGTGTAACACTATAAAGTTGAATTAGTGATGTGCAAGTTGAAGTAGAGTGAGAAAAATGTGACGCTACCCAAAGTTCAGTGTGCGTTAAAATGAGTTACTTACATTTGACTGAATCATATGAATAATTGTCTACATATTCACAATTCAGAAATACACTATAACACGTATGTGTGTGTGTGTGTATAATTTCTTCATTATTTAAATCAAGGATTATACTTCGACACTGTGCATCACTTTCTTCATTTATTGCTTTTAGTGAAGTCAAGTTTATTAAATTACGATTATTAATTATGAAATTGATTTGAAGGGAAGCAAATGGAATTAGAAGAGTCAAATTTATAGATTTCAATGCGTCGGTTGCATCTTTTTGCAAAAATTAATTTTAACCAGTCTATCGCACCAATTCATCATTGATGGTCTATATTGCAAACTATCAAAAGATCATTATGCACTTTTGCACTTGAAGAGTTGCACCATTCAACGCACCTATTGGAGACTTTTTCCATTCACACATATTGAAACCATCAACTAACCCGTAAATTCAACACATGCTTCCTACCCAAATAATTGAAATACAAAATATTTCGCATTGAATGACAGACAATATACTTAAAACGCATATTTTCATTATCTGAGAAAAAAGGTACAAAACTAACCGATTGCAAGGAGGCTATAGTCTTTTTGTCTTCCCTTAATTATAGGATACACGAGTTGATCCGACCTGGCAGCATAAGGGGACGCTAGTATGCTGTGAACCAGAATCAGAGAAATTTAGGATCGCTAAATTCGATTGCTCTCTCTGATCATGACCAAAGAGGCCAAGATATATTACATTGTTCTTCAATGCACTAATGCCTATATTGTTCACCGATCATATGCACAAAACTGTCCTTTCCCACATCTGATATCCTTTTATTTTCGGAGAAATTGTGCTGTGGAAGCATCAAAGACAGGTCAAAGAATCTGAGAGATTATTGCACGGTACTCTTTTGGTGCAATATTCTCGTTGGTCCCATTTATCCCACCATAAACATCAAATTTTAAGAAAATTAGAACATTATTTTCAAATGCATCACACTTCTCATCAGTAAATTCTGTTTGGGGGCCACTATAGATAAAAGGCTTCCTGACTTTAATATTTGGGTATGCAAAACCATGGACTTCAAGTCTTCAACCCCCCCATATAGTTATCCAACTATGCTCTGCCCCACTGTTTTATTAACACGGTTTTCTTTCATCAAAATTCTTACCTCCTCAACACCACTCCAATTACCCCTCTCAGCATAAATATTGGACAACAATACATAATGGCCTGAATTCTGCGGTTCAAGATTGATAAGCTCCTTAACTGCATGCTCTACAAGCTCCATGTCACCGTAAGTGCGACAAGAACTAAGCAATGCACCCCATATAGCAGCATTTGGTTTCATAGGCATGATCTGTATCAAATCGTAAGCCTCCTTCACAAAACCACAACGGCTAAGAAGATCGACCATGCATCCATAGTGCTCCAGTTTGGGTTTTATATGATAATTTTTTACCATTGAAGCAAAGAAATCTCGGCCTCTTTCCGCCAAACCTGCATGGACACAGCATGCTAAAACAGCCACGAAAGTTGCATCATTAGGGCTCGTACCTTCTTGATTCGCCATCTCCTCAAACTTTTCTACCCCAAGTTCACCTTTTCCATTGAAAGCCAATCCCGAGATCATTGCATTCCAAGAAACCACATTTTTCCTAGGCATATGCTTGAAAACCTCAAAAGCTTTCTCCAATTCGGCACACTTGCAGTAAAGATCAACTAGTGCATTGCCCACAGAAACAAAATCATTATAGAGGCCACTCGACTCAACATAAGAATGAACCCACCTCCCAACGTTAATTTCACCCAAATGTGCACATACTGGCAACATCGTCACAACTGTGGACTCATCAGGTTCAAACCCCTCGTACAACATTTCACGAAAAAGCTCCAAAGCTTCGATATCCCTCCCACGCTGCGCCAGACATGAAATCATCGTATTCCAAGAAACAATACTCCTCTCACTCATTTGCCTAAACAAGCGCAACCCCATTTCTACATTCCCACTTTTACAACACCCACGAATCATCAAATTCCAAACAATCACATCCCTATGCGACATTTTGTCGAACACCATTTTGGCCTCCTCTATTCTCTCACAGTTCACATAAAACTCCACAATCCCAATCCTAATCGATCCAAATCTCGCAAATCCAAGCACCAGAACTTCTTTATGTACCCCACGACCCAATTTTAAATCTCCGATATTGGCGCACGCCTTGAGCAAAGGTGCAAAGGTGAATTCATCTGGCCAAATCCCACGCTTTTTCATGACGGAAAACATTGAAAACGAGTTTTCGGAGGGCCCACAAAGGGAATAGCCCTTTATCATGGAGTTAAAGAGGAAGATGTTGGGGTTGGCAGACTGCAAGAATATACGTTGGGCGTAAGGCATTTTGTTGAGGGAGCTACATATGGAGATGAAGTGGGAGAGGAGCTGGTTGGAGTGGTGGAGCTGTTGACGAAGAAGATGGCCATGGATTTCAGTAAGGTGGGTGCGGGTTTCGCGGCCGTGGAGGAGGCGGAGGAGCCTCCGTTCTACCTCTCGGCTGCCTCTGCTCATGTGAAGTAGCGGTGCACTCGGCGGGAAAATTGAGATCAATAGACACCTAGCCCCTGTTTCATCCCATTTTCACTGCAACTCATTTTTTTAAAAATTTAGCCCGTGTTTCATGGCCATTATAAAGATAAATTAGGGGAAAATCATATTTTGAATAGTTATTTTTTGGAAGATGTATGGGAAAAAAAATTTAGATTTATGTGTACAATATTTTATTATGTGAATATATAATTAAAAATGTGTATAAAAAATTGAAAGTTTTAAAATAAAGAGAATCAAACGATTGCTTATTTTCAATCATTACAAAAAATAATTTTACACATACATTCAAAAAAAATTCTATTTTAATCACATTTTTCAAAAAATCACTATTTTAAAACACATTTCCTATAAAAAAAAACGAGGCTCAAACAGTGGTCTATTATGGGTTACGAATGTATTAAAATTTAAAAGTTTTATATGAGCTAGATTAAATGCTCGTTTGGCTCCATTATTCCACATTATAATGGGAGGAATAGTAAATTTTTGAAAATTGTGTGGTTAAAAAAAGGGAAAAAAAATTAGATTTTACGTGTAATATTATTTTATTGAAAAATGTATAGTTAATAAGAAAAAAAAAGAAAAATGAATTATAATTTAATGGGGGTCAAACGGGTGTGATGTTCATTTTCAATCATACATTCTTTCAATAAAATAATTTTAAACGTACAATTAAATTTTTTTCTTAATTTTAACCACACATTTTCCAAACAATAATTATCACAAATTAATTTATTTAAAAAAAAAATAGGGCTCAAACACCAATCTAAGAGTTAAGGGTTAGACTCGTCAGAGTCTATGCAAATCGATGTTAAATAAATAAATATAGCTTTTAAATAAACAATTATTTCTAAAAATTTATCATTTTGAATTAGTGTTTATCCATAAATGAAAATATATAGCTAATGTCATGTCAACAGTGATTAGTTTGAACACTTAATTGATTATTATATAATTATACAATGCTTAATCATATTATTCAAAATTAATTGTATTTTATTTTATTTTGAAATTATTCAAATGGAAAACATCACAAAATTCAAAATGAATTGTTAAGATATATGTTTAGTTGATAGTGCAAATTAATGTGCATATTATTTTTCAAGACAAAGTTTTTTGTCACTTAATATTAGTAGAAAATAATGTTAATCATGATATAAAGAGCATCAATTATCGTTAAAAGTTACAGAAGAGCTTGTATAATTTTATCAAATAATATAAAATTATATATTAACGATACACTTTATTCTAACAAATTTAGAAGAAATTTACATCATTTTTTGATATTCACCGCAATGAATATCATATTGAGACGATACATGAAAATAATATAGAATATCTTTGTATTTCTTTTATATCTCGCCAGAAGTAGATAAAGCCCATGTTTGGCACACATTCCTTCAAAATACATTCTTTTAAACCTCATTTTCCACCACACATTTTTCAATAAAATAATATTTTTCATCACATCAATAAGTTTTTATTACTTTTTAACAACATATTTCCCATCATATCACTATTTAAAATACATTGTTTTCTCAATAATATATATCAAACACCCCCAATAGAAACGTTACTAACACTCCCTTCTGACATGTACTGCACATTTATACAAATGATTGAATAAACATTTTCACGAACTTGAAGTTTATTGATCCTATAGCGACTCTATTTACTACAAAAGAATTGTATTATTATTTCAAAATCAACGGTGCAAAAAATTGCACAATATGGATAGCTTGCACCGCTATGATAAAATATTGATATCTTTGCGTGTTGTCGTCCGATCATGATGAAATTTGGGTGGGACATTCATAACTCATTTTACTTCAAATTCAACTATTTCTATCAATATTATACATTAATATTTTAGAAGAATACCAATATTATTTTTACAATATTATTTGTAACCATATTGTATTCCTGATAAAGCACAAATTTACACATTAATATTTTAGAAGAATATTATGATTAATTTATATGTATCAATAATCCTGAAAAATATTGTTCTATTACTTGTAAATAATCATAACTAAGTATATATCAATATTTCATAAGAATATTATTTTAATATTATAGAAGAGTCAAAACTGCATTATAAATGAGAATAAAATTTCATTATTGATAGTAATTTATTCTCTACTAAATTAAAGAAAAATGTGCTACGTTTTTAAAATGTGTGGTACAATTGAAACAAACACTATATTGAACCAAAAGTTCAATTTGATTTTATTAATTGGCATAGTCAGCTGGACCAAGACTAGATCAATAATGATGCAAAATTAAAATTCAAATAGATATTTAATGAATAATGAAAATATTATTCTATCCAATGAATTCTTATATATTCTTTGTTCTCTTTATCGACAATTGATCATTAAATATTGTGAGTTTTAAATTACCGAATTTATTTAGACCCACATGCAGAATTATACAATTAAAAGCAAAATGTCACTTTTTAATTATTTCTATATGATTAAATCAAACAAGTCAATTTGTCCTAAATTTAAATACCACAATCAATAATTAAACCAATAAAAAATTCCAAACATGATCACGGAGAAACCCCAACACGGTAAAAATTTCGGGCACTTGACAGTCAGTAATCCACTATAAATCGAAACAAACTTACAGTACGGTCCAGACCCTTCTACCCCGTTGAACTTTTGCCCTCAATTTCTGTAGTCTCCCTTGATTCTACTGGAGGTGCGCTCCTTCAAAACAAATTCCAACTCTTGGTAAATACCTTAGCCCTCCAAGACCGCGTACTCCTGACCCCAGATTCCGACTCTTGGTATCTCACTTTAGTCATCATGAATTTGTGCTTCTACAACAGCTCCTGATCCCTGGTATCGATTTATTTTATGTGGATTAGTGGTTTGGTGTTTGATCAATAGATCTTGTGTGTTTTGATCTGTGATTTTATATGAAACAATTTGGTTTGATCAATAAAATGTGTTTTGAAAGAATTTATGGATCAGGTAATTGTAGTTGTTGAATTTTGGAATCAATGAATGTTTTTGGATCTTCAAATGAATGATCTATATGGACTAAATATGATTCAACAAACTTTTGAACATTCATATGGTAGGATATATGTAAGGAAAAATGTTTGGGATGAAAATGATTAAAAAATCGAGTGTTTGATGCAAAATAGAATTCTGGACGTCGACCCTTCGCTCGAATGCCAAGCCAGCGACAGCGAGCAGCAACTGAGCAGTTGTTAGCATTGTTATCATAATTTTCTCTCCCAATATCCGATTGAAGTGATTCAAAATGATTTGGAAAGCTCACTCAAAAGGATACAATCCTTATTATTAGTTTAAAAAAAATTCAGGATCCTAAACCTTTCTCCAGGTAGTTCCCAATGTTTGGCACTTTCCATACTTTATGGGTAAAACATCAACAAATTCACTCATGATCAAGTTACGGTTCCACTCTGCAAAAACTTTGAATCATTCTCTTGAAGTGTGTCCTCTTCATCATAAATGATCTGCTTGCCGCGAAATAACTTGGACCAATAGGGAAATCCCAATTCATTTGGCCTTTCGATACAATCAAATAGAAAGCCCCTTGTCCAAATTTCAATGTTTTCTATATGAAAAATGCATTGCAAATTGTGACTGAGAATTTGGAGCATAACTTATACGGCTCTTTGACATTCTTTAGACCTCTAATTGCATTCCCTTGATCATATGTGATCTTCTTAGATATTTTGGACTCTTTCAAAGACTATACTACCAACCTCAACTCTTTTGACTTTAATTAGGAATCAATAACTCATATTTTAACTTTGAATATAACTCAATAAACTCCTAATACTATTCAACTAGAATTTGATTTTGACAAAGAAAATTGCCAATTGCAAATTTAGAAATTGTCAATTATAATTTGGACTTAACAATCTCTCATTTGGTATTCCATGTCAAAATCATTTATTTCAAAATCAAAAAAATTCAAAACTACCCAAAAATAAACTTCCTAAAATTTTATTTAATATTTTGTCAACCAGTTTCCTAAAATATATGGAAACCACAATACCACGTGAAAAGTAAGAAGAAACTATACAAAAATCATTTATCCAAGTTTAATAAAACATGCGTAACACATAAACATGCAATATCATGTGAATTATAAACTTAAAAATAAAATTTTAAATTGTATATCAATATAGACAAAATATAAAACTATATCTATAGTAAAATTCCAGCAAATATATCAAATGACTCCTCCTAAGTCATCTATCAATCAAAAAATTTAAAATTCCTCCCTTAACTATCAACTCCTTGAAATAAATACACATACCTCCCCCTTTTTGTCATGCATAACAAAGAAAAAATAAATAACAATCATGTAAAACATAGAGGAGAATGAGTAAAAAAATGTGCAAATGTATAATGATACAAAAATTATGCAAAAAACATGTAATGGAAGAGTAAAAACTTTTTAATTTAGAGACCAACTGTTTTTTTTTTTTTTCATAGATTTTCAAGTTTATCATCATAAATAGTTATTTGCTTCCTTATACATGCATAGTTTATAAAAAAGTAAACTTTTCCCACATAACTTATTTTAAACTTAGATGGATTAAATTGTATAAGTCATCCATGTGTGAAAAGTGGCATTAAACTCATGTAAACAAGTTTCAAAACCTTAAATCAATGAGAAAGGGCGTGCAAAGAATCACTAGTGAATGAATATATTCTTCAAAATATGAAGTCAAACCCAATATTACTAGGACATTTATAAATTAACGAGCTCATAATTAATTATATAATTTTTTTTTCTCCCCCTATTTTTGAGCACATATATATGTATATTTTTCTTTTAGGTTTCAAATCTTCTGTGCGGACTTATTTTCATTAAACTTTCTACGTGTTCCCTGTAATGAGCTTTACACCAATTACTCCAAAATCATATGACTTATAGGACACTGGGTATTAAGATACCATGAGACTTAATCA